CCTGTGCGGGGGCAGGCAAGGGCGTGGTCTCCGTACTCGTCCACCTGCTGAGAGTGAGTGCTGGTTCGCTCGGCACTGCCGATAGCCATGCGCATCCATGCGCCAGCGTGTGCCCCGCCTTGCGAGAGTAGCAAGGCCCGAGAGGATGGCTGCAGAGCCGGCAGCAGCACGCGGTCGCGATAGTAAAGGAAAAAAGTCCGCGTAGCGTGGAACTGCCAGCCATGAGGCCACTCACCCGGGCCTGCGTCGCGAAGCTATTGCGGCCGGGCGCCTTCGTAGGCAGGGTGCCATCCAGGGCACGCCCAGCCTTCTGCTTGCAGAAGGTTTTTGGCCTCTGCTGCTTCGCAGTGTGGTTTCCCGTTTGATGTATTCCCTTCATACAGCTTGGCTTTGCAAAGCTGACCTACGCAAAATTTCGTTCCATCCTCGGCATACCACGTGTGCGCAACGAGACTGTGTTACAAGAAGCTGGCACTGAGAAACTTTGAATCATTCTCTGGCGCCGACAGCTGCTACTTTTGGGGCGCATCGCGCAACTTCCATGGGAGGATGTCATGCGAACATGTATTTTCCATGATGGGACGTTTCAGCCGCGATGGCATGATGGACTTCGGAAGCGGGGTAGACCCAAACAAACATGGCTTTCAGAAGTTTTTCGCATGGCTTTGAATATGTGCGGGGATCGGCTTAGTTTAGAGACCTTATGGAACCAAACTCCAACCGTTTGGCAGCACAAAGTGCTCACGCATAATTTCACACCTATGCCACATCAGCGAAACCGTTGAGCGGCCTTTCATGCCCACGTGTCTCAACACGAGGCTTTGACCTGACCTGACCTGCTTCGCGCAAGCAAGGGATCGTGCCCTCTGCACCCTGCTTTAGAGCCGCCAAGCAACGGCCAGCTGCGCCGGGCAAGCGGGACCGGATGACGGGGAGCGCGTCCATCAGCATGACCACATGAGCTCATATGCATGTGACCGGTGTAGCCTTTCAGGTCCTAGCCAACGGAAAAAGTGAGTAGTGAGCCCAACACGTCCCAGCGTTTGCCCCGCGCGCATGGTTACGCGGAGCTGTTAGTGTTCAGAACGACCGACAGTCAGTGGCACCTCGACAAATCCGGGCCGTGGCCGCCACCAACTCCACCGCCAGCAAGGCGACATCGGGATACCACAGCAAATCCAGGACCAGCACCGTTGCCAAGTCCAGGTGTGACTGACACTACATCAAGCGTTTCGAGAGGCAGCAAACCCCAAGGCAAAGGATCCAAAGGTAAAGTCGCAGGTAAGCGTGGCAAAGGCCATCTTGCTGTCAAGAAGCGTGTTCGCAAGCGCGATCCCGACACCGGCAAGTGCATCCGATCGCAGAAGCGGTCGCACAAAGCCCAGCAGAAGCGCGACTTGCGATTACGCTTGCACCAGGTCAAGAAGCAGATCCGCTTAGACTCCGCCGACGTTGCAAATCGCAGCGAACACTCCGATCAAGAAGCCGACGAAAGTGGGAGCTGTTCCTGTGAACCGTCTCCTGAATGCAGTGTGCATTACACATACTCGGACGAATCGTCCTCGAGTGTTTGAAGGAAGGGCTCTGGTTTCAAAGCCGTTGAGCAGCATTCCCACAAACAGTGTGTCTCTGGCGAACGTGCCATCGAGACACACCCTGAAAGGTTTGAGCCGCGGAGTTGCGGAAGGGGTTAGGTCAAAAAAACCAAGATCCCGGGTTGTAGTTGTTTGCCTTGCCCCAACAAACGGCACGATTTCGAACAGCGGAGAACTGCTTCAGATCGACGACGACAGCTGCTGGCGACCACGGCAGCTAGGACGACTACGGCGACGGAGACTGTCTGGATGACTGCAGAGGGTGCGGCACGTGGTCCACAGGAGCCGTCACCGGGGCCGGGACCATCACAGGGGCCGTCATCCAGTTCGCGCCCGACTCCACGTGGCTCCGTGGAACACGCTGCGAAGGCTGCAGCTTGCGCTGCAGATCACACTACGGCCACAAACCGTCAGAAGGAGGCCTTTGGACATCACCTTCGGCGTGTTCGGGACGAGAGATCTGAGGTTCGTGAAAGGCAGGCAATGGCGGCAGAAGATGGCGATATTCAGACTTGGACGGAGACTGAGGATGAGCGGTCACCCCCCCCCCTTGCACCTGCTCTTCATGTGGGTCTACGACTGTTCCTTTACCTCCGGATTCCGCTCAGTCGGGTGCAGGCAGCAACACCGCATGCTGATGGTCCAGCAGTGTTGCCGCATACGCCGTGCTGCCTGGGTGGACGGAGGCTGATGTTTGGCTTCGTGTGCACATGACAAAAGAAGAACTTAGCGCGCTACGTATTGTCTGATCTATACTTTCTGGCTTGTGCTGTCACTCATCTGCTCCTCATGTCTTACGGCGCTCTTGCGCCGCACCCAGCGCATCCCTTTGTTGTCGCCATGGCCGCAGAGTGTCCCTTACCGGCTGATGTGTACATGGATGCACTTGAAAGTTTTCTGCTTCTGGACTGCTTGCGGAACCTGCATCTCCAGATGGATGGAGGACACTTATCGCCAAGCCTTAGTCTACGCAGTCGGAATGATCTGCTACAGGAGGCTCGCAACTGCTTCGACGCTGAGCTCTATCAGCATTTCTTACATTACGCGACGCAGCTTGGTGCCTCCAGGGAACAGTCCTGTTTTGCCTGATCCGATTATGATTGCAGGTGGAGGACATGGTCCTGCAGAGATTCTTGCATCGCAGATTTTGGAGGCAGGTAATTTCTCGATGTGGGAAGCCGTTCGTCAGGTGATCCGACTGTTGCCATATGAACGCCACGGCACAGGATTATGACGGGGCATGATCGTGCACGCAGCTTCACGTTGGGGATCTTTGCCAGGCATCAGCTGGTTGGCATTAGCAAAGCCACCTTTACGCACTCCAATGTGTGCCGTTTGCTTTGTTCCTATATCGGGCTTTTATGCGATTCCTTTCGATGGACTACACTTGCGGTTCACCTCAACTACGGATCAGGGTGGGCTTTGGGTCGAACAGGTTGGTGGAAAGGACTTTCAGGAGATTCCCGGAGGCATGTGCGGAGGCCGCTACTTTCAGCTGCAGGATCAGTTTCTTATTTTCCCAGTCCGCTCAGCATGGCATGCCACGCAGCCGTGGGGTTCCTTTGATCGCTACACCATTGCAGCTTATTCTGTGCGGCACTGGCCCAGGCTCTCGAGTGCGATGCAGAATTTTATCCGGACTCTGGGTTTCCGTTTGCCGGAGGCGCCTGTGGCGGGACTACAGCCGCTTCCTGTGCTACCGACAGTACTTCTGGATCCAGCGGTCTGATGTCTGCTGCTATGATCGTTCGGCTACTCAGGGTATCACTCCCCATCAATCTGCAACGGGGCATCATTCCTACACCGGATGGATTATGCACTCTACAGTCTTTCATTCCTGGGATGGCGAATTCCGCAATGTTCAGCGCTGCATTGTGCTCTTTCTGGGTGGGTATGTGCTTTTATGTGCAAATGTGTTCTGTCTGAGGCTTTTACGCATGCCAGGTTTGCGGCATGTGGCCATGGGGGTAGTGAACGACGTAGCTTGACTGACGTAAAGTGATAGCCTCTTTTTCTTGCCTGCGTACAGATTCTTTGTGACGTAAGATTAGCTTCCGCTAGATTCCTCTCAGCACAGCTGCGAAGAGCAGCCGAGTAGCAAGTGCCTACTTGTACGTGCCACGCGAGACACTGGACTTGTCTGCGTTCCAAAGTCAAAAGTCAAAAGTACCTGCTCTCGTGCAAGGGAAATTGTGCTCCCAGGGCCATCCCCCGCCCCGCTTCGATCACTTGAATTCCCTGATGGGCTGCCTCACTTGTCCGGCCTCAACATGGTCCGAGTCAACAAGGCCAATCAGCTGTATCAGTTTACGTCCACCGTCTGTGCTGAGGCTCATCGCAGAGGCCTCCTCATTGCCGTGGAGAACCCCCGTAGCAGTCTCTACTGGTCCACCAGTTTTTGGCAAGCAACTGAGACCTTCTGTCCTATGCATACGGATTTTGAACTTTCCCGCGGCGGGCCACAACAGCTCGTGGGCGGGCGCTGGAATGAGCAGGCTCGCACTTTCGTGCGGGACCTCGTCCGCTTGAAGGCTCATCGGGCCCCGCCCACGCTACGCGCAGCGGCGTCTGGCGCTTGGGCGAGGTGCTGGTGGGGCATGCTGTCCGTAGCGGTGCAGCAGGCCGTCGCCAGCACAGCACTGGGCGGCTGGGCGCACCCCTTGCAGCCCGAAGCCAGCGACGGCCCACCGCTGGACACCCTGCTCCACCACGAGGCCCCGGCCGGCCAGAGTCGCCTGCCGTAGAGGCCCTGACACGGGCCCGTAGCGCAGTCTCTGTTCGGTAGACGAGTCAGCTGCGACCCGCGGCTAGAACCCCTTTCGCTTGGCAGCTCGAAAAGTCCGTGACAAAAAAAATTCAGCATTGCGCTTTTGAGAGGCGTAGGCCCAAGTGGACTCGTCTGTGTCACAACCATCCGGCCTTCCATTCTTTGCACCGAGTGTGCTACCCACGGTTCTTCTGGATCCGGCGACATGATATCTACTGATACGACTGTTCGGCTACTCAGGGTATCACTCCCCACCAACCTGTGACGGGGCACTTCTTCCTACATCGGATGGATTATGCACTCTGCAGTCTTTCATTCCCTGGATAGCGAATCCTACATTGTTCGACACTGTATTGTGCTTATTCTGGTGGGTCGCATGCTTATGTATGCCAAATGTGTTCAGTCTGAGGCCTTCACGCATGCCAGGTTTACGGCATGTGGCCATGTGGGGTAGTGAACGAGGTAGCTTGCCTGTCGTATAGTGATAGCCTCTTTTCTTGACTGCGTACAGCCGGAAGATTTGCTTCCGCTAGATTCCTCTCAGCACTGCTGCGAAGAGCAGCCGAGTAGCAAGTGCCTACTTGTATGTGCCACGCGAGACACTGGACTTGTCTGCGTTTCAAAGTCAAAAAGTCACGATGGCGAACACTGATCAACAGATCCAAGCATTGGCTAGTCAAGTGCAGCAGCTGACGGCCCAGCTTTCGTCACAGCAGCAGGAGCTGACCAACATGCGAGCTGCACTAGAACAGCAAGCGCAGGCGACCAACGCCGCTCTAATTGTGGCGCAGTCGGCCGTGTCTCAGTCGACAGCCCACAACTCACAACGCAGTCAACAGCGTCTGCGGAACCCAAACGCAGGCCGTTGAATCCCAAGTTGGTCAAAGTGATTCTGATTGGGAGCGATTCAAATTCGGTTTCACATCGTGGATCGGTACTGTCGATCCTGAATATCCCGACCTTCTCAAGGTAGCCGCCGCGCAAACAGACGAGATCAATCCTGCCGAGATGATCTCACCTGCGAAAGGGTTGTGCACAGACCTGTTTGCCATTTTGCTACGCTTGTGCCAATCCGGCGAGATCCCAGCCATGGCGATGCTTGTGCCAGACAGGAATGGGTTCGAACTGTGGCGCCGCATGCATGCCCGTTTCGAGCCGGAAAATAAACACAAGTTTTATGCGTGGCTCCGGGCACTTTCCAACCCTGTTTTCCCGAACAACGAATCCCAATGGCAGCGAGGCCTTGAGCAGTGGGAAGGCGAAATCGCCAAGTACGAACGGGAATACAAGAAAACGTTCGGTGAAGATCTGAAGCTCGCGATCTTGTCCGAAGTCGCTCCGAAGACGCTTGCCCCACTGATTGCCATGCATTCTGCCCACCTTACCACCTATAAGACGCTTCGGGAGTTCATTGTGCAATATCTGAAGTCCAAGAACCTTTGGAAGCGTGGTGCCGGAACCGCTTTCGGCACACAGTTTGCATCACCAGCAGCCCCATTCTCTGGGCCAGCACCCATGGAGATTGGGGCGGTGGAAGCAGACAACAGGTCAAAACCGAAAGGTGATAAGGGTGGTAAGAGTGATAAGAAGGGTAAGCCCGGTAAAGGTCCAAAGGGTGCAAGCAGCAAGGGCGACGGTAAGGGCAAGGATAAGAGCAAGGCTGAGGTCAGCAATGCCAACGCCACCAAGGGACCTCCGTGTGCAATTTGTGGTCCCGAGAAGGGGAAGAACCACACCACTGAAGCGTGCTACTTCAATGCTCGCAGCTTTCTGAAAGGAGACGGCAAGGGCAAGCGCACACCGACACCAGGTTCAACTAATATCGCCGCGGTTGAAGGGACAGCGTTTGACAATAGCGACCTGTCCAGTACCATCGCGTCCTTGCAGCAGCAACTTGCTGCTCTTCGGCTCAGCGGCGCATCTTCAGTGAGTGCCTCGTCCACGTCGTCTGCCAACGTCGGCCGCAAAGGCCAAGCAACCCAGGGCGCTATTTCACAGACGGAACAACCCATGTTGTTTGCAGTGGTTGATGCCGAGGTTGCCGAAGCCGTTTGTTCCACGGTGCATGGTGACGGGAGACAAAAGAAACTCGATGCATCAAAACGCAAGCAGTTGTGGGCCATCAACGGAACGCCCATACAGCAGCAGGGCGAACTTGCAGCTGACACTGCCCTCTCAGCAACTACTGTCGGCGGAGAGGGCGTGGAAATCCCTGCTAGGTTCCGTCTCGACTCTACGGACATCACCGAACCGGTGATGGCTGTTTGTCGCATCTTAGATGACGCCGATTGTGACATGCACTTCTACCGCTCATCCTCCGGCAAGCCGGCGCACATCGAAACACCGGACGGTCACAACATCGTCCTGCCCCGGTTTGGGTCTTATAGTGCTTCGCATCCAGCTTTCGTTGCAGCGCAACACCACGAGGACCTCGAGGATGATGTGTCCGCAGGTCCCGTTGAAGAGGATGGCGTCGATGTTGACTTGGATCGCCAACCTGGGTCACCCAAACCACGTCATCTCCCCGCGCCCGTGGCGCCTACAGATGACGAGCGAGCATTGCACAGCCTTGGTGCCGCCATTGCATCACTGGCAAAGCACCTGAGTCTGGACACCATCGACAGATCAAGAACGAAGATGTCGAGGTGCCAGTCTTGCAGTTTGATTACCAATTTTTCGGCCGTGACGGTCAGCTCGTTGAAGAAGAAAGCCGTGCAGCTACAGTCCTTACGGCTACTGACACTTCCTCCGGATGGCCACTGATGGTGTTCGTGCCCGAAAAAGGGCCAGGCTCGTACGTTGTCAAAGCGATTGTGTCATGGGTAAAGCGTTTGGGGTATGCCAAAGTCACGTTTCAACACGACCAAGAGTCTTCGTTGCGAAGTGTAGCCGGGCAAGTCCAGCGCGAACTCGGACATGCTCATGTGCACATTCAGGCAGCACCACGCTACAGCCATGCAAGCCAGGGCGGTGCAGAAAACACGAACCGGTGAATGGCTGGAATGCTGCGCACATGGTTGTCCGCATTGAACGCAGACTTTCCCCATCCACAAGAGCCCACAGACATCAACCACCCAGTAGTTCCTTGGTTGTGCCGCTGGTGTGCATTCGTGTGGGCTCGGTACCATGTGAAAGCTGACAAGCTCACACCATTCCGCATTGTGACTGGCCGGGAGTATAAAACCCCGATCGTCCAATTTGCCGAAGTAGTGCTAGCCAAGGATCCCAAAGTTAAGGCGGCCATTAGCAAAGCTAAACCACGTTGGTTCAAGGGTTTGTTCGTAGGGCGTCTCGAGCTTGATGATTCCGCAGTTGTGTTGACAGATGCAGGTGCCATCACCGTACGAACCATTCGACGACTGCCGGAAGACGATCAACATGATGTCAACTTTCTTGATGCGGCATGTGGTTTGCCATGGGCACCTGCAGGCAAACGCGCCAAGGTCCGAGCTGAAACCAGCCACGTGATTGCCGTTCCAGCTCCAGCAGCTGCGCCTCCCGACCAACCTGCAAGGCCATGTCCCCACAGCAAGACGAAAGATCCGAGCCTGTGTTGCCGCGTCCACCTCTCACACTGGGTGTTGATCCCGAGGCAGTTCACCACGACATGTCTGCCCCAGGAACGCCTTTGTCGGAAGCACGTGCCATAACGTCAGACAGCTCGCATCACATGACGATGACACCCCCGACACCACCATCGCCATCTGCCGAAGAATCGCACATGCCAGCGTGAGGTGGCAACACCCACCGGCATCAATGCCGTCCCGCTGCCAAGTCCACCAGCAAGTGTCGAGAAACGCTCGGTGCTTGCAGCGTCAGAACCTGCAGCCGCAACTGCAGAGTCGTCACCCAAAGTCCCGAAAGTAGGTAGCATATCTTGTGCATTGCACCAGATCCAAGAGTGGGCACGCGATGGCCAGTGGGAGCAGAAAATATCGTCCGTGCTTGATTTGCTTGACACACGGTTAGACCCTCGAGAAGTCGAGAAGGCCAGGGATGTCCAGATGGCAATGCTAGTCGAAAAGAATTTCGCTAAACCGAGGTTGAGAACAGACATGCCGCGGAAAGCGAAACTTTTCAATGTTAAATGCGTGGATGAAATCAAACGTGGAGTATATCGTTCGCGCTTCACTTGTGCAGACATCAAGAAGAAGTACTCCAAAGAGGAACCGGCTGAAGAAACCAACACGTTCGCACCAACTCCGCATGAAGAATCACACATTCTTCTCGAGCTCAAGTGCCTCCTCAATGGGTGGCACTCCCGCTCCGGAGACGTCAGGTGTGCATATCTCTTAGGCACCGATTCGGGCGACAGTAACGGTCAACCAGTGTTCATGCGCATGCCTCCCGAATACTTGCCTCATTTTTATGCTTGGTTGGATACCCAAGACTCCGAGACGAAAGCATTATACATGTCGGTAGATCCGTTGAAAGAAGTAGTTCTGGAACTTGTGGGAAACCTGTACGGCAGGCGGCCTGCTGGAAGTAACCACCGAAAGGAGTTTGAAGAGGTTGTCACACATGGTTTGATCACCAAGGGGTATCAGTTCATTCGTGGCACCCGTGACCCGACAATGTACACATGTTGCAAAACCGATGCAACTCTTTTGCACCACGTTGACGACACAGGCGTCAGACAAAGACCTGGAGTTCCTGCAGTCAGACGAGGGCCTTGGCAAATACCTCGACATGAAGAACGGCGGCATCGAGACACCAGGCACCAAAGTCAACGTCTTAGGCCGAACCAATTGCGAACCCAAGATGCGTTCTTCACACTCCCTGACCCCAAGCATCGCGAAAACGTGCTTACATTGCTTGACCTCTGGCACGCAACGCCATCGAGAGTCGCAGGTGAGCGGGCACAACGCACGGAGAGCAACACGCTGCCGATCGACGAACAGCGCGCTGAGCTGTATGCAAAGTGTGTAGGCTCGTTGATATGCTTAGGCATTGACCGCAAAGACATCCGTTTCGAAACGAAAGAGTTAGCGCATCACATGCAAGGGCCAAGGAAGGTGGACTGGTCCAACTTGATTGTGCTGGCGCGATACTTGTTGCACAAGCCCGACCTTGCCTTAATGCCGAAAGCACAGCTTCCGGCGTTCTGACCGTTGATGGCTTCACAGATTCAGATTGGGGTGGGTGCCTTGACACCCGCCGTTCTACTGATTGTAGCTTGATCAATGTTGGGGGCACTGTCGTTGTCGCTCATCCGCAAACGCAGGCGGGCACTCCCGCCTCATCTTCCGGTGGAGCAGAAACCCGTGCATTGAGCCGAGGGGCGCGCGACGTTATGTTCATCAAACAGTTGGCCGAGGAGGATTTCCGCTTGAGACTAGGCCAACCCCGGTTGTGGACAGATGCAACCACGGCACTGCAAACCGCCAAGCGTCTAGGTGCCGGTAGCAAGATGCGTCATATCGAGCTTGCCGCAGTGTACGTTCAGGAAGTGGTCCATCAAAAGTTGGTCAAAGTGGGAAAAGTTTCCGGTGAATTGAACCCGGCCAATTGCCTCACGAAGCATTTGAGCGCTGTCCTGAAAGAGCGGTGCGTATCTGATCTAGGCACGGTGGACATGAGCAATTCCGACCTTCGCACCCTGTTGCAAGATGCGGCTGAGATACAGCTTGTAGCTTCGCTTGTCTCCGAGCGTGTGCAAAGACAGAGGCTAACACCGTGGAAGCCTAATTTTGCCGTTATCGTTGATGCAATCCAAATTTGTGGGGCTCACTTGTGCCGTGAGCGTCCCATCGCATAAGGGTTCCCTCAGGCTCAGGTTTTTGAGGATAGTGTTGCCGCGTTCAAGCTTCAGTGCCTTTGAGCCCTAACGGCCTTCAAAACTTTTGTTCACTGACATTGCGTCGTCACCACCGGGAATTGTTTCACTCTGTTCAAGCTCCAGCCTTCAAGGGGCGTGCGAGCGTTTACGAAGCGTATTCATGTATAAACGCTGTAGCTTGAGTATGCTTGAGTGTTGTACATGTACCACGAAACACGTCATGAAAAGCATGACCACATGCATGTGACCGGTGTAGCCTTTCAGGTCCTAGCCAACGGAAAAAGTGAGTAGTGAGCCCAATACGTCCCAGCGTTTGCCCCGCGCGCAGAACAAGCAACTCCGCCGGATGAGAATGGCTGGACTGGAGCGGCTGCTGGGCGAAGGCACGCAATTTCGGTATGAGATGGCTGATGTTTCCGTTTGCTGCAAATATCACCCGGCGGATTACAACGAGACACGGATGGAGTTGCTGGGTATTTTAGACACCACGCAAAAGAACCAGCTATCGTTGATCAGTGCTTGCGCGATCTGGCGGGCATTGACTCAGGAGGAGGACAGTGAACATTTCCACCCCAGGGTCCTCCGGCATCTTTATGCGCGGTACACAGCAGAATACCAGCAGGACCATGAGACGTGTGGCGGGGAAACACGCCGCTTTCCGAGCGTGGCGTAGTCTTATAGGCACACCCATAGGCCACCCACACTTCATATCGTTTTGGGCGGAAAACCGGATGTGCGCTGAGCGAGAGCTTCTGAGCCAACGGCCTCGCCACCCAGACTTGCAATGCGCATGGCTTCTTCTCGCTATGTGCGCATCGCCGCGAGCCAACCACGCGCTGCGCACAGTGCCGCCGCTAGATATCGCCGGCTACGCACAGGCCCATGACGATGCCGTGTGGGAGACTCGGGAGACGTTGCAAGCTTGCCTCGGCGGGGTTTCGCCTAGCGAGGTGGAGGGCGCGCAAACCTTAGCGACTCTCCCAGCATCGCTTGGCGGTTTAGGCCTAGCCAGCGCGGTCCGTATCGCGCCCGCTGCGTACTGGGCGGCATGGGCTGATGCGCTCCCTGTCCTCAGGCATGCGTCCGCCAGTTGGAAGCAGAGGCAACAGATGCGGCGTGCCTCCGCAGCGCAGCGGTGGCACGCAACGTCCTTCGAGCTGAACGCTGGCAGGCGTGTCCTTCCGGGCGAGCAAATGCGGATGGCGCTCGCCCGCCAGCGGTGACGGGCGATTGGCCGCATGGCTGGCAGCACAGTGCGTCGCGAACTCGCAACCGTCGCTCCCAGCCCTGCCACCAAGCGTTTGCGCGCTCTTGCGTTCCCAAGCTGGCCCGCACGCAGGTGCATGGTTAACAGCCATACCGGCGGACCCAGCCACTACACTGCCGCCGCCGCCGTTTGCGCCTCCCACTGCCCCTTCGCGCAAGTCACTGCGGCCCCTCTCCCGGATGTGGCGGGCTCGTCGATGTGTACGGTGATCATGCCCTGGCCTGCCCTCGCACTGGGCTGCTAGCTGCAAAGGTCGTCGAACGGGCCTGATTGAGGGTGGCGGGCGAAGCCGTTGGGGCGGACGGCCAAGTAGTCCCGCAGCAGTGGCTCGACTGCTCCTGGCGTCGCCCCGGACGACAGGCGCCACCTTGATCTGGTGATCTATGGAGCGACGCCCATGGGAGGAGCGCTGTGCTGCGACGCAACCTTGGTGTTGTTGTTATTGCCCGAACGGGCCAGCCGCAACCTGGCACCGCTGCGCATGACGGTGCCATGTTGCGAGTTGCGGAGCGGCGCAAACGGGCCGCCTACCCAGAGCAAACAGATTCGGGTTCTTTGCGTTTGCGGCTGCCCTGCTCTCCCGGCCCCTTCCTCCACCACGCACTGCAACGTTGCTGCGTTTGTTTGGGGCACCTTTGGGCCGGCCCTTTGGCCGGCCTCTTAAATTGGCCTTGTGGCTTCAAGTTCGAGAAATTTTTAAGCAAAGCCAGCGCCCTCCGCCACACCGAACCAGGCGTAATGCTCGGTCATGCCGCACTGGCTGAAATCGTGATACTGTATAGGCAAGCCCACTACGGCCAACTAGCGCAGCGGCAGCCCCGCCGCATCGGCGAGGTCGAGCACACGGTCCAGTTCCGGGCCCAGCCACTGGCTCGCTGCACCGCGACAGCCAAAGCTGCCCACCAGCGTCTTGTCCAGGCGAAGGCGGCAGCGGCTCGCAAGTCTCGAACGAGCCGCTGCTCGAACGAGCCGCTGCGCTGCTTCGCTCCAGCGTCCCCCCAACTTCGGAGCCAAGCACGACGTGCTGCTGCGGAGCACATCGGGAGAGCGCCAGACGGGAACCAATGGATGTTGCAATCTTGGATGGCAAGTAAGATTGATCCTTCTCTGTATCCGGCGGCGGGCCCTTTGGCAGCTGGAAGCATGCTGGATTCACGAGCAAGGGCACAGTTTCGTGATCCAGCAACGCAAGCGCTCATCCCCCCCGTGCGACCAGCTGCATGGTCTTATAAGCCGTGGGCTTCCACTCCAACCCAGGCGGGGGTGGCATGCACCCGTGGTCCAGGGCTTCTGTCAAGCCTGAGGGGACGCCGTATTGGGTTCCTCCTGTGCGCTGGTTGCGCCGGCACTGCTCCCGGGTGGTAGAGGGCAGAATGCCCTCTTCATCATGATGGCAAATCTTGCCGCCACCTCGGCGCGCCGTTGCATCCAACCGGAAGAGGTCGGCCAGCAACTCCTGAGACCTTGTATTGTGGAGTTGCATCATGGTGAAGCTTTGTTTGCGCGGCATCATCTATTTCGGTTATGGCTACTTTGCCGAGTATCCCAGTTTGCTGACAGTGGTGCGAAGTACGAAGCCGTCAACGACCCGGCTGGTTGGTTTTCAGCAAGGGGCGACTGTTTGGGAGTTTAGTCTCTGTCTTCATCGTCGCTTTGTCACTTTCGCAGGATACGGCCGATGCGAGGGTCGAGCCATCGACCTACACCATCACTGACGGATCTTACGATGTTTACAGGCGGAGCCTGTGGGATTAGCGATGTTCTGCACACCAATCTGAATTCGTCGAAGGTACCGACTGCTGACTGCGTATCTGACAATGCTCTGAGCTGCCTTCGTTTCGTGCCTCTGGTCAAGATTGTGTCACTTCATGCTTGTAGACATGTTTTCTTTGCCACTTTCCTTGCGGCGACTGCTCTGCAACTTGAATTCCGTGTTGCTGCCGAAGTCGTTTAAGCCCATCCACGTGAGCAGCATGCTACGCTTTTGCTGCTGGTCTTGCAAATGTGTGCAACTCCCATACAATACAACATCCAGCGGAAATGCCCAGAGTTCTATTTGCTATACAACAAACACCAACACCCTCAAACCCAATGATCCCCGATTAATCGTGGCATCACGACAGAAATGGAGAGGGAGAGAGGGAATGGGCCGGGCAGATAGCCAAGACAGGCAAGAAAGACATGAATACAGAGAAGACAGAAATGAAGAAGGCAACAAAGAGAGAAAGAACGAAAGAACGAACAAAAACCAGAAACTTCGAAGTAAACGACGGCGACGATGACTACGGCTACCGGGACACTACTGACCCTACCACGTCCGCAACCACGACCGCGACGACGAGGACGGTGATGGCGACGACGAAGAAGACGACGACGACAACTACTTGATTACTATCCGGTGCTGCAGCTGCTGCTCCTACTACTACCCCAAGCAGCACTATTGAAATCATTAAATTGCTATCATTATTAGCATCATTGCTATGATTATTAGTAATATTGCTTCGACTCGGACTGTGACTGTGACTATGACACTTGCCGTTAATGTTGCCATGACTAGCCAGTCTATGTACCCTTAATCATACTAGGGCTATAACGGCTTTTGGACTTAGATTTAGATTTTCGAAGCCATTTTCAGTGTTGCGGTCTGATATACTTTGCTGCTTGTCGATCCTAATTCATTTTGTTTGTCTTCGTCGCTCGCTCGTCCCATGCTGCCATAGGCTGCATTAATGGAGGGGCATCAGGAATGCGTTGCTTCCGCGTGGCCGTGGACGCACTTCATCCTATACATCATCAAAGAAGCACAAGCACACACACCAGCAAGCTTACAAGAGACGGACGATGGATCCGTGCAGGAACTGGCCGCAATCTAAGTAGATCAAGCGGAAGAAGATCAAGAAGACGCAGTGCACAGTACGGACCTTCAGACGTGGCATGACACTTTTGCATCGTTCTGCATGGTGCTGCCTAGGACTGAGATGCAGTCGGCAAAACTCCATTTCGCACGCTCGGTCATCGGGAATGGGACAGCACCGCAGCGTGCTGATACCGAGCAACGAAGCAGGAAGCTTTTTCCACTGTAGGGAGCCGATCTTTGTCGAAGCCAATCTGGATCCCCGGTGAGCATTTTACCATCCACGGAGGTGTTGTGCAGCCCCCTGCAGCAGGTTCGTATCATGACGCACATGATCAACAAGATTCAGAAGCTGTGTGAGGCGGGCAAGCCCGGCCCAGTTTGGATCCTCAGTTGTTTGGGATCTATGATGATTTTTTGGGGGGGACTGCAATTGCCGGTTGTCTCAATCCAAGGCCTGTCGTCCACCGACGCTGCCCCTGAAGTTGTGCGCCTGCTCCCTGTTGGGCTGCCGCATTCTGCACGTCCAAAGCAGCTGCGCATGCCGTGCTCTGCATGCAGCCCGCCGGAGGTCATGCCATGGGAGCACCGGATGGGCAGCCTTGGTGCCCAGCCTTAGCAAAGAAAGCCCAGTGTCGCAACAAAGACGCCAACATGAGCCATGCTGCAGGAGTTCGCAATGAGCACGTTCTCGATACTCGGAGGCACATTGGGATGGAATCACGCTGGCGGCTTGACACCTCTCATGGGTTTCATCCACTTTCACAATGCATCTCAGACTGGCCCAGGTTTGGGCATTTCGCTGCCGACGCTTTCGGAAGGCCTTCGGTACGTTATACGGCATGGCCTTGGGCACCAGCATCTGGTGCTCGTCACAAGACATGTTGCTTGGATTGTTCGGATGGTACCGCCTGTTGCGCGTATTGATGTGAGATGGTTTTGAGATCTGGGATGCTGGATCGACCAAGGGACCCTACCCTAAACCGTAAACTTTGAGGTGCAATCCCACCAACGTCGACACCGCCTTTCCACAGTTCTTCTCGGAAGTCAACTGGCTCCCATCTGTGGAGGCCTTGTCGGGACTCAGCCTGTCCAGCTAGGAAGACCCTGGATCTTCTCATGAGAGCAGATGTTCTCATATTCTATTTCATGTTTTTCGTACTAAGTTGCATGAAATGATTTTGCATTATATTACATTATATTTTTCATTACTTTCCATGATATTTTAATATATTTCAATATATTTCCTTATATTTCAATATATTTCATTATATGTGAAAACCTCCTGTGTCATTTGTGTACAGCGCCTAGTCTGTGATTGAGCCTAGACGTGATGTATATATGTACTGCTGCCGTTTAGGGCCCTTGAGCTTACCGTGTAGCTTCGCAGTCGCGCGAAAAGGCCGCCAACTTCAAACTGGTAGCGGAGCAGGTGCCCTCCTTGGGACCTGCGACGCGGGCCTTAGTAGCGCTCGTAGTTCGCAGGCTGGGCGAGCCCTTAATCGACCCTGCATTCACCTCCGCATATACATTGATTCTTGCCAGGGAACAATGTCCGTTGCCGGCTTACGCTTTAGCCGGAACACCACATCGAGTACTCCCTTGGAGACTCGATCAGGATCGTACATTTACAATGGCGATCCCCAATCATTCCATGATTGGGGGAGTTTAGGACCTCTATGAGGCTTAAACTATACGAAGACGCCATACGCTCTAAGAGCAAGGCGAAGGGCGATGCCAAGAGCATCGACCCGGACAACAGCGAGGACAGTGACGCGAGTCCTCGAAGGACCGCGGCTTCTGCTCCTGTACCCTCTGAGGACAGACCTGACATGGATGCATCAGCCGCCACGGCTCCCGCCGAAGAACCCGCTGCAGATGGACCTCCGCCGTCGAGGCCATCACCTGTTTCCCCGAAGTCGGACGACTCGGGCTCCGTCAAGAGTGTCGCCGTCACCCTCGATGAGAGCACGTCCTACGCTATCAAGGCGAGGACCGAGATGGTGCACAAGGTGCTAGAAGGACTTCGCGATGAAGCCTTCGAACTTGCCAGAGATATCGGTATCGAATCTCTGACCGCCCCAGGTGGACTTAGGAGTTTCATCACGCCGCTGAGAAACATCGTGTTTCCCCGCGCAGCAGAAGAAGCCCGAGAGCCCTTCAGAGCGGGACAGCGTCAGGGGCCCTTGCGCGGCAACCCGGTGAATCTATGCTTTCGTACGTCAGCCGACGACGAAGGTGGTGGAAACTACTGAAAACCCTCGATTCTAGCATCGAGCTCTCCGAGCCGATGCGAGTTGAACTCTTGCTTGAACTGTCCGGCCTCAGCCGACAGGAAAGCCTGGTCGTGAAGGCTTGCGCCTCAGACTCCAAGAACTTTGAGGCGATTGCTACCACCTTGGTGGAGCACTACAGCGGTACCCACCTAAAGGAAGGCCGTTCCTTAGGCGGTACCTACTCGGATCGCCGTTTCCCAGGCGGTGGTGCTCGACCCAAGGGCAACCAAAAGGGCTACGGGAAACGCAAGCCGTTCACCAAACGCGCCTACGTCGCTGAGGACGAGACGCCAGAATACTTCGACGACGTGTACCCAGAAGAGGACGAGGATGCAAGTCAGTACGACGACACCTCGTACCCCGCCTTTGGGGACGAGACCGAATACGACCCACATTCCTACCCCGCCGGGGAGGAAGATGAGGAACCGAGCTACGAAGACTTCGAGCTCGACGAAGATGAAGCCACGGCGCGCAACTGCCTCGAGGATTTCGATCCCGAGGACCCAGACAGTGGGCACGTCATTCAACTGCAACTTGCAGCGAATGCCGCCTTCGGCCACGCCAAAGGCCGCAAGGGCAAAGGTCGTGGAAAAGGAAAATCTAAAGGTAAGGTAGTCCGGTCACACCTTACGTTAGAAGATAGGCGTGATAAAATGAAATCCCTGAAGGCTCGATCTAAATGCCTCAGGTGCGGCGCCATAGGCCATTGGGCCGGCGACCCTGAATGTAAGTTCCCTACCACCAAAGGTGGAGGGAAATCCAAGCCCAAGGGGCATGCGCACGTCGCAATCGTCGCCCCGCGACAGGATCCCGACGGGGGCCTGTACGTGCCATCGGGGAATGACGAGGGTCCCTACGCCCACATGATCACGGAACTAGGCTCTGCCAGTTCCAAGGCCGCTCCTGCTCGACCATCTAGCTCAATGCAGATGGAGGGCGGTGATCGCAGATTCTTGTATGGACAGCATAAGGGTCAAACCTATGATGAAGTCTCATGCAAGATCGAATTCGTTCGATGGGCACTCATGCAGCCTAGCCCGGCATCTCACCTTAGGGATTTCCTCACCTGGTTTAGTAGATATTATATCATTAAGGAAGGTGTAGGTGGTCACCACTACCGTGAGACTCGGTCTTCAATAGGTATCCCTGAGGGAACCTATAATCCTCGACCGAGGGCAAAGGGCGCGAAGAAGAAGACTCCACCGAATCCTCCTACGGATCGGTGCGCAGAGTGCAAGGACTTCTCCTATCAGGGGAGTTCCGCCAACTTCGTGCGGAAGACCTGCAGAGATTGCGGACATGTATCCCAAGAGAAAAGGGAACATGTGTACACCGTGGACCCCTCCGTATGCTCACACGAGGCAACGGACCACAGGGGCAGTTCGAGGACTACGTCCCGAACCTTCTGCAGGATGTGTGGAACATTCATCGATGAAGTTCCACAAGACTTCCACCGGGAGCGCAAGGCCGCCTCGGAACGCCTGTTGGGAGCGACCGAATTGGCTCTGCCAATCGTTCAAGCAGTCACTGCTGATGACGCGACGGCCGACCTTGACCACGAGGCGGTCGGTGTTCTCATGGAGCTCTTCAAGCAGCGCGTCAATCAGGCGATCGCTCTTGAGGAGCGAATCCATCCAACAGCGCTGCACGCTTGGCTCAAGGAAGCCATTACCACGGTAATGGACCCGGTTAGCCCCTCCTGGGAGTTTGCGCCTACGGCGTACATGGCCCGAGGGAGAAGCCCCGGGAAGAACAAAGGAAAAGGCAAGGGTTTACCTCAAGCTAAGCCTAAGGCTAAACCCAAACCTAAGCCTAAAGCTAGGCCTGATCACCCGGAGCCAGAGCCAGAGCAGAGAACTACCGACGAGCCGGAGTTCTACCGCATATCGGATCCTATGGGGACCGATAATTTCCTGGGAAGCCGAGACCAGGATCTCGAGCAAGACTACGTAGAGGCTACCATCCTAGAGTCTTTCCTGCACCAGGATGATCCCTATGATCCATTCCCAGGTGGCTCCTCAGACGACGGGGCTCCCGGATCTTACAACATCGATGAGCTGGACGATTACTTTCGCCAGCAGGAGATCGAGGAAGCCCGACAAGCGGAGCTCAACGCTCAGCGTGAGCTCGATGAGGCATTTGAGAGGGCGCGTCAGCAGAATCTGGAAGATCTGCAGGAAGATTCCCGAACTCCTATGGAGTCGGCCTCTGCACCTAAGAGTAGGATGCAGGTTAGGCACGTCCCAGGTACTGAGCCCCACCGTCTCAACTACCAAGTGAGACAACGTGTCGAGGTGGAAGCTGTGCCTCACTGGCAGGAACCAACGGAGGCAGAGCTGGAAGCGGAGGCCCAGAGACAGCATCAAACCTACATGAGGGACCGCGAGAGGATCCTCAGGGAGGCGTACAATCGACGACGCCAGGAGTTCGAGCAAGATTTGGCCGAACGGTTCCAACGACGCCGCCAAGAGTTCCGTAAGGAAATGGATGATTGGTACGAGGACGCATGTAGCCGTGCCGGACCTGCGTACAGAGCCGCTATGGAGCAACTCCGAGCGGAAAATGAGAGGAATCGGTCGGGATCCCTTCGTCGCATCAAAATCAAAATATCCCTAACTCTAATCCCCAAGACGACCCTAAGGGGAGTGGTAAGGGTTTAGAAGTAGATGCTGCATCGTCATCTGTGCAGGCACAGGATCCTCCTGAGGACCTGGCAGCAAGCTCTACCCAAACGGGAGAGCCAGAACCCCTAGGTAGGAGACCCAACCGGTTCTCTTCCCATCAGGACTCTGGATCTGCATCTGCCTCGACCTCCGGTGTGCAGAGGAGCGTTGGGGAGGGGAAGGGTTCCGTAGGGGTTAAGCCTAGGTGGGCCAATAGAGGAAAGGGGAAGGGTTCTTCAGCTTCAGATTCGTCGGGACCGCCTGAATCTGGAACGCTTAGGACCCCGGTAGGACCTACCCCTAAGGCCAAGGCAAAAGGGAGAGGCCCTCCACAGGTATTCCCAAGAAACATAGCCGGAGCGGGATCAACCCCTCAAGGTGATCTCGTTAGGATAGATAATCTGCCCCTAGTTAACATGTGGGAAGAGGATGAACCTCACGTGTGGGGAGCGCTAGACGAAGGCTGTAACTCTACGTGTCATAGTGTATCCTGGGGAACACTTGCAGCACAGCGTCTTGAAGCCTTCGATCTAACATTCCCTTGGGTAGATTCTAAAGCCAAATCGTTTGCGGGACTAGGTGCAACATCTAGTACCCTTGGGAAACGTAGGTTGCCGTTTTGCATTACGAAGGGAGACACCCTTAGGCGGAGTGTTAGAAAGCCATGAGTCTGAGATTGATACTCAGGCTCGCAAACCCCTTCTTCTTAGTCTGTTTGCCCAAAGCACACTAGGCCTGATTAAGGACATGAAATCATGTACCTGTTACATTCGCAATCATGATGGCTCCATGTCGCGTGTGCCGCTAGCTCGCTGTAGCGAGACGGGCTTGCTCCTAATATGCTTAAGCACATTCACGGAAGACCTTCCTGAATGCGTTAAGGCACTTAGGAACGCTAAGGCTAAGGCTAGAGCTAGGTCACCTCGTAGGACCAACGCTCCAACCCCTAAGGGCCTAGGTCAGGTGCTGGATCCTGGTACCCCACGGGGACCAGGGGAGGCATCCGAGCAGGAACCCTTTCGAGGGTCCTGCAGGACAGCCATGGTCCTTACGGCGCCGGTGGTTAACGCCGAAGGCGTCGTAAACGGCTGCTTCTGCAGCCAAGATTCGCGGCAAAAAAAGCGGGCCACGGAACACTGGCCGAACATCGCTATCCTCACAGGGGGAGCGAAGTACCAGATTGATCTGCGCGGCTCAGACCGTCGCAAGATCAATCAGAAGGCCGGCTGGACGGACGTGATTCCGCCAGCAATCCAGCACTTCCTGCTCTACCTGCATGATGTGAGGAGTCTTAAGGACTCAGGACCCTCACGATGGAGAGTTTTCTCATTGCATTGGGCGTCACCCAGGCATTATTGATGGAGTGCTGGGGTCTCAGACAGGGCGGATGCTTCTATCAATGATCTTTAAGGACATTGAGAGGTCGGTTGCTAGTCACAAACCCGTGATTGTGATCCCCTTCTGCAACTCGAACCGGCACAGAAGCATCGCGATCGGCACCTGTGTCTCGGCGGGACTTTACGTCCATGGGATGGACCATTTTCTTGGCCATCTCCACGCCAATGCATCATGGGGCCCGATGAAGTGCGGCGGAAACTGCGCGCAGTGTCGAGCTCGTTTCGATCATAACAGGACGATCGAGCTTGGCAATCGGGTACTAGCACAGCTAGACCCGAAGATCACTGGCCTGGCAATCCACCCTGCGGATGCCGCTTTGACAAGGGCAGCCAGGAATCCCTTGCCGGATCCTGCAGTCCACTCTGGACCCGCCGCAGCGAGCCAAAGCGTACCGCCCGAGAGAAGAGCACCGTCGACCACACCAACGACAAGGCAGGGCTCAGGTACGCCAAGGAATCCGCCTAGCGGATCCTTGAGTCAGGCCGCAAAGCGCAGCACTACGCCGAATAAGCAACCTAAGGAAGGTGCTAAGCCGAGTGCGAGTTCTGAGACTGGTTCTGGCGTGCCACCTCCGCCGCCACCAGAGCCGTCTCAGGACAGGTCACCACGAGGACCAGTCCGTGGGCCACCAGGGCGAGGACCGGGTGGACCCCCAGGCGGGCCACCGGGTAAACCCTCTGGTGGGCCACCTTCTAGCTCGAGCGAGTGGCGTGACAGAGCTATCGCTGCAGAAGCTCTCCTGGAGAAGTACAAGACCGAGAACGGCGAGCTCAGGGACCGTGTTTTGGCCCTGGAGACAGCAAATCGTGATTTGACTGCAGAGAACAAGGAACTCTACGCTCAGGCGAGAGTTGCCGAGGAGTGGAACACGTGGTTTGAGGAGCAGCAGCAGGCCGGCTACCTTGGAGGCTACCGTTACACTCCAGCGAGTACCCGTCATGGGACTCCTAGAGCTCGGTCTCGCTCAGCTGGAAGTTTTATCTCGAGGAGTTCTACGCCAACCCGCTCGCGTTCGAGACAGCCCGCGAAGCACGGACAAAGGAGATCTGCTACACCTGCAAGGGGAAGCACGGATGTATCAGAGCCTGAACATCCTCTCCCAGATCCCCGTACCGATCATCCGGACGGGTTCAACACCATGGATCCAATCGGTGAAGAGATGGATGCAGGCGTTCCCGGAATCGACGATGATCCGGATGAGGATCGCCCGTGGGCTGCTAACCTGTCGTTCCCCGACTTGATCGATCTGGCTAGGACGATCAAGCGGGAGCAGATGGAGACCGGTCACACCTACAAGAACAAGGACGGTTGGAGAGGCCCGGTAGGTCTAGGAGCACCACCGAAGCAGTGCTTGAAGCACAACGTCCGTTTTTGGTGGCGACCCAAGGGTGGCTATGTGCCGCAGGATTTTAAGTACGATCATTCTCTCCACCATTGGCTTAAAACAGTCCTACTGTTTAAGCGGGGAGAGCTCACTATCCTTCAAAGGGAAGTGAGGATCGATGCGCTACACCCTGCAATCCTCCTGAGGCGAAAGAGGTCAACCGTTTCCTGGTGATCGCGCGGCCGCTCCAGACCCAAGCTGGGCTGGTTCACCCTGCCTCTACCTATAAAGGAGAGCGCCAGCCCGAAGGGCAGAGCAAGAAGCGCGACCGTCCCCTTGGCGCGTACACAGGGGAGGGTACAGTGCTTCATGGGACTAAGTTAGATAGTCCTAAGAACGAGCCCGTGGTTCTCAAACCAGGCCCCGGGGTACTAACAAAACGGAAACCTCAACCCAAGTGCCCTAAGGTTGAACCCGTTGAACCCCAGAGCCTTGAGACCACGAAGCCTGCAGAACCGAAGTCTGAAGGAGGTACCGTAGAGGACCCCGAGGACCCAGGTTGGCTAAAGGTATAAAACCTAGAGGCTCAAAACCGAAACCCCCAAAGCCGCCAAAGCCCCCATCACCCAAGAAGAATAAGGGTTTGCCAATTCGGAAGCGTTGGTCTTCTTGGTCTTCTAGTGATTCAGAAGATGACGCTATCTCGAAGCAGTTAGGCCTTACCTTGAAGAAGGAGAGTGGTGATGGTGATGATTCCGGTGATGACGGTGATGGTTTGGTGATTTCGGCTGAGGGTCCCACCGGTACTGGTTTCAGATCGGTTTGCAACATGGCAGTTCTTAGTAAGGCCCGGACGAAGGTCATTACGAAGGGCATAAGCCAACTGAGGGACCATGACAGAGCTCTCAAGCGTCTGTTGGAGGTAAGTAATGTAGGCAGTGTAGTTCCCCCGAAACACATTGTCGTATTCACCAGCGAACCTCAGCATTTCCAGGACTCGATGATTCATTGTGTGAACGTCGGGATCAATGCAACTGGCGACTGGACTCCGGAAGGAGCCAGCACTGGCCCCGACTGGGAGGCGCGTGCGAGGGCTCATGTCCCGCACATTAGCTTAACCGACTGCCGTAGTCTGTCAGATCATCTGAACAGCGAGGCTCCAGCCCGAGTGCAAGACAAACGTCTGCAGATCGAACTAAGTGCACTCAGACAGTCGATCTTTACAGAAGACGGCTTACGCACAGCCGACACCTACCCAGCGGGAGGTGATCGCGTCGATTGGGTTGACACAGCGACACAGGCTGCAGATTGCTTGACGAAATCAATGAAACCAGACTTCATGATTTCAATCATCGAGTCTGGCCGTTACAAGGTGAGTCGTAGCAAGTTGTAGCCTGTAGACCGGAAGCGCTACTACAAAGGACATACCTCGTATGTACCTAGTAGCTGAGTAGTTCGCAGACACCACATGCAAAGGAACATCTGTTGATGTATCCCTGTGGTTAATTAATATCTGTACATGCCAATCACAGCTAGAGAACAGGTTGAGTGTGAAAACCTCCTGTGTCATTTGTGTACAGCGCCTAGTCTGTGATTGAGCCTAGACGTGATGTATATATGTACTGCTGCCGTTTAGGGCCCTTGAGCTTACCGTGTAGCTTCGCAGTAGCGCGAAAAGGCCGCCAACTTCAAATTATAGTTTAAGTATATTTCATTGTATTGAAGTATAGTGCATAATATTACAGTGTATTACGTTGTGTTACTCTATGTTGCATCATTTGGCATTATACTACATTGTGTAACTTCTGCATTTTTTGCACTATTTTGCAGTATATTACATGATTTCGCACTACTTGGCATTGTATTAGATTGTATTGCATTTTTTGCATTACATAGCAGTGTCTTACACTATTACATTATATTACATTATATCACATTATATCACATTGTATCACATTATTGTATGGTATATTCCATTTTAGTTTTACATTCGAAATTCCAGTATTGCTGCATCGCTCAGGGAGTTGATTTGGCTTCAGCAGGCCACCGCGCGAATGTGGATCGGCGAGTCCAGCATCACTCACAACAAGGTGCATTGTCTTCAACATTCTTCAATGCACCAATATTCAGCTATGTTTTGATCGGTTTCTCAGCCAGCTGCCGTGTGTATTGACTCGAGGTTCGGCTGACCGGAGATCTCGATGGTGCGAACCAGATGGCTTACGCCCCAGCAGCTGGCCCTGCCAAGTGCCATTTTTGCTTGGATGACTCTGTGCTGCAAGACTCTGACGCATGTGGATGGTACTCTCTAGGGGTCCTCGCAAGCGGATGGATCTGCTTGGACTTCAGGCGTCATGGGAGCATGGAA